GTTCATTCCACTAAGAAAAGTTTCAAATCATCAACCGTTGGGGTCATGGGCGAGAGGCCGTGGGTGAGAGAGTACCAGTCGGTGGCAGGTAACTCTTGAGTTCCTTTTCTTAGTCGCTGTGGATAGTGGCATCACGAAACAATTCCGCCGGCCTTTATAAAAACGGTCGGTTGCGTAGTCATTCTGCATGTAGTCCGTCATACGCTGCGTGCAGCGTTATCAAAGGCACAGTGCGCGGGCATAGCCCTGCAGAGCGCGCTTCATTTACGGGAGCAGTCGAGCAGGGGTCTCCCCAAGAATTGAAATTAGAAGGTCTACATTTTTAGGGAGGGGGGGGGGGGGGAACAAAGGGGGGGGGGGGGGGGGTGTACACCCCCAGTCGAGCAAGGAGAAGGGTGTCGGAAGCTACGCTCTTAAGCCTGTGCTTCACACAGCATTATAGACAACTATGGAGGTTTTTGAACATTACTCCTGCGACATGCGTGAAAAACAATAATATCAACGCAAAAAAAAAAAAAAAAAAAAAAAATCGTGCGCAAACGAGCTTGTGCGAATTGCACATAATTACGGAAAAGGGGAGGTCCGAGACTTCCTGTCTGTTTTGTCCTCCTCTTTTTTTTTACCCGTCTCGGGGTCTTTCGCTGAGACAAGAAAAAAAAAAGGAAACGGACACCGACGCGTAATCTTGTGTGGTCCACTATTTCACAGAGACTCGGGTTGTCCGGTTTTTTTTTTTTTTTTTTTTTTTTTTGGGGGGGGGGGGGGGGGTTTACATTTTATAATGTTTCCCCACCTGCTCGCCTGTATACCTTCTCTTCTTAAACTCGTATTATCTTCTAAGATAGTATCCAAAAATAAGAAGGCACTGACTTCAAAGAGCTATGCAGCGAGAACCTGAGGGAGAGGAGGAGACGAGAGCGCGCGAAGACGTCAGAGCGCCGAGCTCTGGTTCGCATGACTAGCGAGTAGGCGTAAAGCTGCCTGCCTTTGTCTCTCCTGCACTCACTGGACGCGTTCGTCCAGCCAAACGCCAAACGCCGGCTTTTCGCGTTCTAACGCGCTTGACGAGAGCAGCCGAGACAAAGGCAGCTACGCGGAGCGCAAGTTCGTCTGCTCGCACAGGGGTTCCGATGACGTCAGAACGTCGAGCTCCGATTGGTTGGTTGTCGTTGAAAGAAAAACGGTTGGTACACCTCGAGACATCTAGCATCGCGCTCTACCCACTATCCTTTCAGTCAAAGCCAATCAGAGCTCGGCGTTGTACTGACGTCACCGCAACTCCTGCCCAAGAAGCAGACGACTTGCTCTCCGCATAGCTTTGAGTCTACTCACTCACTCATCATTCGAACCAAAGCTCGGCGTTTCAGTAATGAACATTTTAATTGGAAAACTGAAAGGTATTTGGTCAAACCATTCAATCAGCTCACTTTACAAAAATTAAAGTCACACGCGGCATTTTACGGTTTCCCGTAAAAGGCTTCGGTTTCGCATCGGGACGGGGGGATCGGTGGCCGAGTGGTCTAGCGCACACCAGCTCGGAGCACGCGGAGCGAAAGCCCTGGGCTCAATCCCCGCCCCTGCCCGTTTCGATCTGAATCCGTGATCGGGACGCGTCTCTCTGCGATGCTCCACGAAGCAAAAGCTTGCCAAGCCCAAAGCACGCAACAGCGCAACCGCATCGCCTCCGTCGTAGGGAGTTTGCCACCGAAATGAAACGCTACATGTGCTGTTAAAATGTCATTTCACAAATAAGATTTGATTCGTGGGCTTGCCTCCGGCACATAAGGAATGCGTGGCCGACTATGGGACCCGGCCACACATTCTGACGAAGAGATACGTTGAAGACACAAGAGCTAAACTTACACAACCGCGTCCGAGATTTTTTAATGCATTAGAAAGCATGTTTTGACATGATCCCGGCGGAGTTTTTCGTTTGTGAACGCCGGGGAGAGGGTGACGCGTGCGACGCTCCCATTGATCCGAAGCGCTGACGTTAACACGGATCAACCTCTCCCTCTCCTCCCAGCGCTGACAGACTGACAGACACCGCCAGATTTTCGTCAAAACGAGCCCTTTCGTTTTCGGCACAGTCACGCATACAGCTGGCGCGGATTCAGAGAGGAGGAGGCGCCGCGCAACATCTTCTAGACAGCAAAACCGCAGTGCTGAACGACATGTCGTAATCAGAGAAGGCCAACACTGGACACGGATTGAAAACGAGTGCGACGTCAGCGCTCGGCTTGGAGTCAAGTTTGAGCCCAACGTTGACGCAATCGTCGTGTTCAATCTGTGCACAGCGTTGGCCTTTTCTGATGACGCCATCTCCTTCGGCACTACCGCTTTGTTATCTATAGTCCGTTGCAACCTAAGAATGAAGGGCGAGGATAAGACGGGCCGGGGAGGAGGAAGCAGACGGAACGCTAAAGAGAAAAGGAGGTTTCCCTCTCCCTTCTCTAGCGTTCCGTCTGCTTCCTCCTCCCCGGCCCGTCTTACCCTCGCCCTTCGTTCTTAGGTTGCAACGCGCTGCGGGCAGTTCAGTGCGGGCGTGCTGTGTTGCCGCTCTGCCACCGATGGTTGTTCTTCGCTCTGGGTTTTCGTAGTCGTGGTAAGTGGGCTGTGGTATGTGTGTTTGAAGTTAAAACGATGGAACCGGTACCCTGCACGAGTGATATGGATGGGGTTCCTTCCACGAGTGGTGTGGATGTGGTTCTTTCCAAGAGTGATATGGAGGACTGCATCTAAAGGCGTCGACGTACTCTGACAGGCAGAGTACAAAAAAGGGATGAAAAAAATTACAGTAAGATCCATCAGTAGATTCTTGGGGAATTTGTTAGCATGATGACCCTTGCAAAACACCACACGTCCCCCTTGGGGAAATGCTAACACTGACGGCGTAACGAGACCAAAAAGAGGCAACAAAAAATAGAGGAAGCGAAAAAGAAAAGGGGTTAGTGTTAACGTTCCCCAAAGGGGACGTGTGTGGCATTTCCAAGGGTCCTGTAACGCATGCCGCAAAATATTGCATGAGCCGTAACCATAAAACGATTTTTCTACTTTCGCTAAATATTACTCAGAATCACTCCCTAACGTTAATAACCGAATAAACTTGCCTTAGTTTTTCTTTCTAAAAAATGCCAGTCGGCAAATCAATTCGAGAAATATGAGCATCGATCATCCCAACTCGAAGCCAGAACAAGTGGCCACGTGGCCAGGCGCCTATCCGCCAATGTTAATCATAGTCACGCGGTGGAATCGGTTGAGTAGAAAACGCGTGCCGAGTTCCAGGCATGGTTGGAGTGCGGCCATTCTCATCACCGCAGTGGCTGGACACTGAGCCACTATCCAAGTGTCTGCCGTGGCATTGATTGTTACGAGCCGATGTCGAGTGCTCACCTAGTTCTCATGTCCAATCCATGAACCGCGCTCGACTGTCGTTAGGTGGGTGGTTCCAATCCCACAATCACGTAGGGGATGTTCTAGTGCACTCCAGCTCAAAGCACGTGGAGCGAAAGCTTGCACTGAACCGAGGATCCTGGGTTCAATCCCCACCCTTGCCCGTTTCAATCTGGATGAGCATCGTACCAGCGTGTAGTCGTGTATCGCTACAGCATGGCACATGCTAAAGACCCCAGGCTAGCGGTTGTACTGGACTGGCTAAAAAGTTGGGGGACAAGTTGCTCGTTCAACCAGACTGACTTCAAGACTGTATAAACATACCTAAAACCCAATTTTTCCCACAACCACGTCATCAAGCTTTGCGAAGGCAAGACTGACAGAAATAGTCCTCTTTCATTCACGCAATTTCACAGTGACCAAGAAGCTTCCAAATCAGTGGAGGTCCGTGCGAGTATACCTCCCAACTGTCATTGAGCTCAACTAAGTTGTCCGGTGTTACACAGCACATAGTCTTAACAACCCTAGCCGAGATGCGCGTCAAGGGCACAGTTGAAACCGAAACAAGACCAAAACTGATGTCAAATTATCTCATTTTTAAGAAGTGATGCAGACGTAACGAAAGTCTTATCAACACCAACATCACAATGGCCGCCCTCGCCGAGCTTTGGCTCTTGCGACGTGCCATGACCGTCCCAGCGGCAGCTCTGGCCCCGAATCATACCTCTTCCGACAATATTTGCAGCTACGTTACTTTCTAGGTACCTCCCCCAAAAAGTCAAATTTGGGGGTTTTACGTGCCAAACCAACGACGGGCATCTGGCATGCCCCAGCGGAGGACTGAGGATCAATTTGGACCACCTGGGGATCTTTTGACATGCACCCGAAAGCTCAGTTACACGACGCCTCCTTTGCAATAAGCCTCCGTCAGATTGCGGGCATCTCGGCCGAGATTTGAACCCGCCACATGGATACCTCCCCCAATCTTCCGCAATATAGTAAGTGCTTCACTGGCGCTGGCCATGGGCGGTGATGTGGCAGATGCCACCATCTTTAGCTCTCTTGGGGGGCGAACCCCCCTCATTTAACTGAGGTAGGCCAGCTCAGTGAACTTACTGATCGTTAGGAGTCAATAACAGTTGGCGCCGCCGTGTAACTCCGGTTGATCGCGATTGAGGGGGGGATGGGAGTGGGAATTGCGTGGGGATGGCAGAATGCCAAGCTCTGATTGGAATGATTAGTGGGTAGACCTAAAGCTAGCTGCCTTTGTCTCCACTGCACTCAAAGAACACGTTAGAACGTGGATCGCCGGCGTCAGGCGTTTGTTTTTTGCATTTGAACACGTTCGGCAAGTGCAGTGGAGACAAAGGCAGCTAACTTTAGGCCTGCCCACCAATCATTCCTATCAGAGCTCGACGTTCTGGCGTCACTGTGTGCTCTCCTCTCCTCATCTCATCTCCCTCATTTTCTCGGCGCATACGGTACCAACTTTACATCTGATGTATTCTTTTGAAGAATCGATTTGGCCGACGTTCCGTGAGACACCCAGTGCACATCCCCGATTTGTCGAGGAAATGAGATATATTGCAACAAAGCATGCACCCATATTCCTTGTGTTTTAGCGCGTTTTAATTAAGAAGGGAGGAATTTTTGTTGGTTGGAGGGCCGGGGTCACTGTACACGGGATGCGGCGGCTAGGGGAGGGCCAATCTTCACAGGGTCCTTTCGGAGCCGACGGCTGGGGTCGGCGGCGCGGTCAGCGCCGATGCGTTCTGCTGCGTCTTGGCGTCGTCGCTGATGCAGACCCATTTGCCGTCCTGGGTCTCCTTCCACAGCGTCACCTGCAAACACCATCGCTGCTCCTTTACACTAGGCTGCCTTCATGTGCCCTAGGGTGATGACATCACAAGCGACCCTTCTTTTAATGCAAGAATTGCATTTTTACTGAAGCTAACTTAACTTACATTACTGAAGCTAGGCTCTATCTGCCGGACACAAAACCCAATTGTGAAAGAAAACAACAACAGCAGCTAACAAAAACCAGCTGAGAAAGCTTCGCACAGAATAAGGAAAAGAAAACAAAACAAAAAGAGCAAGTGGTGACGCTAACACGGCGTCCCGTCGCGTGCGATTGTAAACTGAAAAACACCCTCCCCATAAAATAAAATAAAAAAATCTGTTTATGACGATAGATAGATTGGAATACAATTGCAAATTTTTACTTCTTGCTCTAGCACGGAAGGGAGCGTCTCCCAGCACAAGTAGGACAAACGCAAGCCCTTGACAAGAGAGTTGTAGTAGATCATTCCAACGACTAAGATAATGATACCTGACACTCCGTCGGCACCTAAGCGCATGCATCGTATTGGGGGTATCAGGATGATCCATTAAAAATCTCCATCGAATGCTATGACGGCATTTTGTTTCCGTCTACCATATTTCTCCCAATGTCTAAATTGCGTTGTTTTTTTTTGTTTTTTTGCCCCGACTGTGCATTTCATATTTGCCACGGGGGTTATTTCTTGTTTGATTCGTTGACGAGAATATTTAAACTTACATTTTTCAATGTAGTTTGGACACCAAGATGTTTTGTCCTGAAAACCGCTGTTTATGAGGGTGTGACTTATACAGGGTGTGGTCGTAAAGATCAACACGTTTGGCGTGCCTTGTTAAATTTGAATTCAAAACGTGCATACCTTGCTCATTTCATTTCAAATCGAACATACTGGTCAAGGTGGGTATTTGGATTCTTCTCAAATAAATATTTATATATAATAGCCCTATATCTAAAAAAATACATAAAAAACAAAAGTTTTCTTTTTTTATGAAAAAGCATTAGGTGGAACAAGGTGAAAACCAAATTTTGTGTTTGATTTTTGCACAAAGTTCTGTTATTTGTTATGCTTATTAAAAAAATTTAAATATTTATAGAATTTATTTATATAAGCATAAATTGTATGCCAAATATTTTTGTTATACACTTGACAAATAAGCCAAATTCCATTACCGATAAAAAATGCCAAACATTGTACCTTTGACGTTTGGGTGACGTAATTGGAGCCTTGTATCTCCATATCTTTTTTAATTTGCGCTTACCAAATACTGTCCTATAAGCTGATACGTAGTACTTGTGTTTGTTTTATGTTCACAAATTATTATATACTCATTTTAAAACTTCATGAAAACCTAAATGTGGTCATATTTTGAAACTGTTTTATTAAAAAAGCCAATTTTTTTATTTTCTTCATAATTTTGTAATAATTCCCAGTCATACTGCGTTTCTAGTGGCGTGATCCCAATTCCCCCTTCCCCCCACACACTTTTTTTTTCTTTTTTGCATCTTTTTGCACAGAGAAATAGAAAAGAGGGGGAAAGGAATAAAGGAAAGACGGACGTCAGCGCGCCCGTGCGTGCCGCGCGACCCGCATTGCTTCATTCGACTTTGCTCCCTCCGCTAGCTTCGCTTTGAAGCCAGCATGGCAGACTAACGCCCGGCGCTTTGAGGCGCTGCGATGCCGACACTTTTGGACGTAACAAACAGGAAAGCAAACAGGCAGGAAACTAACACATGTATCTCTATGGAAGTAAAACGGGACCGGCGTTTTTGAATGTAACAGCCGAGAATACATACCAACCGAGAATGTATCAACAAGGTTCTACTGTATATCATATAAATAAATATATTTATTTATATATATATATATATATTTTTTTTTAATGGTTGTTTGTTGTTACAATAATGAACATTAAACTATGTTTCATCATAAGTGCAAGTAAAGCCGATGCTACAAGCAAGAGCATGAATCCTCGTGTTCCGAAGTGTGCCGTGGTTCATTTAATCCCCAGGGTATCGTTCCTTTATTCAAAATGCTCCTTTCCAAGAAAGCATTGCCAATCATTGGGAAAACACCCTGTTTAATATAGTGGCGACGAGCAGCCGTAACTCGCTTTGCCGCTCCCCCAACCACTAAACCTTTTGCAAACCGTGCAGTTCCACCTACAGCGCCAAAAGGAATGTTGGAAACGGTACGTACTATCGTAGATAAATATGAGCTGAAACAGACCTTGATGCACATTTGGCGTGCCAGCCAGTTTTTGAAAGAGCTGCAGTCCAATGTATAGGAATGAAATGAAAAGTTGATGTCCCATACTTCGACCTTTTCGACACATCGCCGAAGGATAATAGAGCTTGCGAAAACCGCAGACGTAGAAAAAGACTTGGTTCGGTGTTTCAGCTCATATTGTCCGCAGGAGTACAAGCTGGTGGTAGCAGACGACAGAGGCAATGGAGGAAACACAGGACAGCGATTGTGCTACCCACCTCTCTCTCCAATGTCACGATGCACGAAGTCGACGTTGCGCGCATGCAATCTTTTGGCACTTTCACGAAAGGTCTACCGCGTGGGGGTGCCTCAAAAGCGGAGGCAGTGCACTCACCTTGTTGTCGCCGCCGGAGACGGCCAGGATGTTGCCGGTGACGGACCAGGACACGTGCCAGATGACGTCGTCGAAGGTGGCCAACACCTGGTAGGTCCAGGTGGCGCAGTCCTGGCTCGTCCACAGGATGACCCGGTGGTCTTGGGAGCAAGAGGCCACCGTGCTCTGGGAACCCAGGCCCACCGAGGGCGCCCAGGCCACATCCCGCACCCAGTCCGAGTGGGCCTCCAGCTTGTGCTCCTCCGTCCACTTGGAGTCTGCCTCCCTGGGGGACCACAGAAACCACAGGTTGGGGACAGAACCACGAAATAAGCTACACCGACCGAACAGAAAAAAGAGTTAGAAATAAGGACTTAGAACTTGCGAAAAACTTGCGAAAAACGAAAAAAGAGTTAGAAATAAGGACTTAGAACAGACGGCTGATTATCTTCAGCGTGTAAACTTTTGATCAGCCTTACACGAAAATTATGTTTTTAGCTCACAATGTGGACCAAGTGTCTTGTATTGCAACATGTGGCTGAACTACTGATGTGCCATCTATTTTTATAAAAGACAAGCCCAGGCTAATTTTGCTTAGTGTTGTTCCATCATTCAAATGCCAGCACACTAAAAGACGAAGCCAATACGTGCATAGGACGAGAAAGAATCAATCAAACATTGGTCAGCCTGTCACCTAATTTCCAGCAGATGACCAAAAGACGCACAAACAACCTTGCCAGTTTACATTTTCCTAGAGGTGCGCAAAACAGCTAGAATTGAAAAGCACCGCGTCATTCATGGGGTCTGCTGTGTGAAGACAGACCAGATCTTGTCTGATATCGGCCTGCAGAGGTCACGAATGAGTCGGCAACATTCAATTTGAGCCAGTATTCACACACCTCTCCCTTCTTCTTTACCAACCGATACTCGATGGGGTCTCAACGAGGGCCCCTTTCTTCTGCAACCACTCACACAAACTTCCAGATCTTAACCAGGTTGTCACAGCCTCCAGTGACGAAGCGCTTCACGGGGGTTGTCTTGTTGGCTGCCGGGTCCTCGGTGGGGGCTTCGGGCGACACCGACGCCACCAGGGCAGGTGCCCAGCTCACTGCATTGCATCCAATCTGAGATAGGAGAAGAGACACATGTGCCCTAAGAAGCCTCTCAACAACAGGCAAGTCCCTGATATCCCAACAGGTCATTTGGGTTATATCAGTCACCTGAAGCTAACATGGTCCCCACCAATTTTGAAACTACAACATGTTGTGTGGCCGTGCTTTGACACAGAATAATTTTATGAACAAGTGCATTGCGACCTCTTGCAATATCTTCCGGACCAGAAAACACACTGGCACGCTGGTATTATTTATGAAGCACAGTGTTGGCAACTATGAAATTAAAAACCAGCTAAAGGAATCCCGAAAACCGCTAAACCTAAGGCTTGCGGTAAGAATAACTTTCTAACACGAGTTTCTGCTACAGTTAGACTAAAAACAGCACATTACATAAAATAACTTTTAAAAAGACACTGAAATGAAAAAAATACATTTTGTGGCGTGAGCTACACTGGCCGAGGTTGAGCAGTTTCGCGTGGCTCGCATAATGAGCCGTGCTCCGTGCTGGGCATGCGCGAGGAACAGCAACGTCACACGGAGCCCAGCTGGAGCGCTAAAGCCGCCGCGCTTGCCTCGCCGGTCTATGCATTCCAGAGGAGTGACGTCATAGCCGCGGCAGACGCACTGGCGCCGCCGCGTGCCCAGCTGTGCGCCTCCGTTGCACAGTAGCCAAGTCTGACGCTGCACCGGAGCCACTTGATAGCGCCTCTCATTCTGTGCGCATAAGCTCATGCTACGTATATTCTGGCACTGCTACGTATATTCTGGCACAGCCGAGCTAAGCCACCGCAATTTTTTTGAAATTTAAATTTATTTGGGAGACGTTTTTTACACATTTCTTTTTTTCACAAACAAAGATTTAAACGATTTCGCGTCATGTTTACGCTGTTAGAAGACACAATTTAGGTGAAGGTAGCCCGACCTAGGCCCCGCCCAGGAATGTACTTAACTAAGCTTCATTTTTTGGCTCTTATTGGTTGGGGAGATGATTGACGTGTGGATTGTTAGTTGTAAAATTGTTTCTCTGTGCCACAATACTTTTTTTATCGACAATATTTTTGTGTTTCAGAAACAAATATTGTAAAAGCCTTAGTGTTCACAAGCCTCCAATTTTCGCGACTTGTAAAATTTGCAAACTTTAGTGGGTGCAAATATTTCTATGGGGAGAACCCTATAGAAATGTAGCACTTACGGCCATAGCTGTGTGCCCGACTGATGAGCGCCTGCTCACGGCGGGCTTCCACAGTTCTTTTGCAACGTGTATTCTGCACCATCAAGACTGCCAGTCATAGCAGCCTATTAATGTGAGCTCGTTCTGAGCATGCACTCTAAACATCGCCCTCAAATATGGCATCCAGTGAACACCCTCTATTGTCTGTAGAGGTGAATTCCAGCATTTAGAATTCGTGAAATTTAATGGTCGCAAATATAACCCCACTGCCCAATACGCAAAATATCTGGGCCGCAAAAATAAAGGGCTTCACAGTAATCTAGATAGTCATTATTGTTTTCAAAAGTATCCCAATATCGCCTTTTCCGCATTGGTATGAAACAATAATAAACATGGCTGCCGGTGTTTCTGGCGAGCTCATTCAGCACAGCTCGCCGAGCTTAAATAAGAGACTTGTATTGCGTTCTCCGAGGCGTTTCAAGGAAGATCTCCTCGGTTGAAGTATATGTTTGCAGCAAACAACTGTCTCAGGTATGCGCCTTTAGAAGCACTGTGTGGGTGCTTCTTTTCGTAGAAGGACTGGACCAAGCCTAGCGTCCCAAGTAAACTATGTGGCTCGATATAACTTGATTTCTTCATTTGCGCGTGTTGATGCTGAATAAAGATGTTGGTTCCCGTAAAAGCGACCCTGCTGCTCTGCGAATTGTTTAACTGTGGGGATTGCAACCATGGTTTCAATACCGAGAAGATACCTACACAGGTAAGAATTTGCGAGCCATTTGGAGAGAGGAAATCGGGCGTTTGGCTCAAGTTTGTCCAAGTTTTTCCTGTCATTTCGCTTCGAAAGGCAAGTAGCTCTCAAGTTTAGCAGTTCACCTGGCCTGCCAAAGTGAAGATTTTCAGGTTGCGTTTTAATTGCGCATTATGACGCTCACTAACCTTGCTCAGAAGAAAAACAAAAAAGCTGAAATTAATGCATATTTATTTTATCGCTTTTTTTTAGTCCTCTCGGTCGCTTTTTACTGCACATCGAGACGCTGACAGACGCTTGTATTAAATCGTGGCTCGTAGATGGACGGACTAAAGCAAAAACACACGCCGACGCACAGCTTTCATGTCAACGTCTTATGGGCATTGCAGACGACGATAGACGGTGGTGAAATAGCGGACGGTGCCAAAGGACGCCACGCGTCTGCTCACACGACTAGCAGGCAGTGTCAGACGCCACACTAGACGCACCAGATGTCGGGAATGAGAGACAGTAATTAGCGTGTCTGGCCGAGCAGCCAAGCCAATCCAGTATTAATGGGCAGGGCCCAGAATGGGCCGTGACCACCACCTAAATTGCGTCTCACAATGTAAATATTACAAAAAAAAATTGTGGAAAAATTATTTTAAGAAAATATCTGTCCTATCTATGTCCTCTTAGAAATAAAAAAAAATTTTTTTCATTCTAGTGTTTTTTTTTTTGAAGGGAGCTCTCCTTTTGGACTCGGAGTGCTTCCATGCACAAAACTATGTTTACTGCACGATCTTACTGTTACACAGTATTACAAGGTGTGTTGTTTAACCATACCTGCCTACGTACATCTTTGTAGTATGTACTAATATTTTGTGAAACATTTGGTGGCAGTTCAGAGCTTCAGTAACCAATTTTTATGTGCTGTTCAAAAAGTTATATTCTCCAGTAGAGGTATCTGACCTGTCTGATGTCACTTGGAACTTCCAGTAACCTGTCTCAAATTTTAAAAACCTACGGCCCCCATTATTTTTTATTGTAGTACATTATTTATTGGGCCTATGCAATCTGGCAGATTTGGAAAACAAATTCATACATTAAGGCCCAAATCAATTCAAAGCCTGTTTCAATGCTTGCCACTGTGATATCTCAATGGCGTCGCAAGCGTTATTCTCACTGACAACAATTTTCGCGAGAGTAAGCTAAAATAATGATGCTGTGGCTTTACTGCAGAATTTAAGCTATTTACAACTAATTCTGTAAACTGGAAAACATCTGAGACCATAAAAAAAAAAACGCCGACGCAACTCGGAAGTTGCCAAAATTGTCCGACAACCACAGAACTGCCATTTCTCCCGCTAGACAAATCGGAAAACTGCTAAGTTTAGCGGTATTCCCACTACATTTGCAACACCCTTGACATGGCCCTGGATAACTGCATTCCACTAGAGCGAAGGTTTTGCAGTATTTGAGAGATCAAATGTACATACTATTGGCCTCGAGATCGACCTAGAGGTGGCGCTACAGTCGCGCTGTCATCATCATCGAAGCGGGGATAAAAGAATGGCCGCCCCATAGGCTCTCCACGTTCGCGCGCGAGACAGCGTAGATCCTTCCGTTTATTTTGTCGCATACTATCGGTGGGAAAACAATTCTAGCGGAAAAGGATGTGCTACTGTTCGGTGCTTCAGTGAAGATTGAATTGTGTTGCCAGCGTGTGGCCTAAATTTATATAATCGCTTCTGTGGGTGCATCGTCTGCTCTAGGCAGACGTTGGAAAGCATGGATCACCATGACTGATGCCTGCCTCCGGCTCAACTCGAATATTTATGTCATGTATTTGTTTCCTTTAAAATGGATGTATCAGTTCAACCTGAGAATTTAAAAAAAAAAACACACAATAAATTCCAACCCAGATAACATAATACTGGTACTGTGGGCTGTAAAATCACTGCTTTATGCTTTTTTTATTTTTTTTACTTCTAGCTTTTGCAGTAATATAAATATATAGAATTAAGATACGTTAGTGCTGTATTGGAAACTACCATGCTATTGAGTTCCTCTGCCCTTTTACTGTGCCATAGTGTGGGTAAGTTTTTTGAAGTCTGAACAAATCTACTGCGTTGCGATGAGGAGAGTGTGTATCTTCTAGTTAAGATCAGCAAACTGCACGGTTGGCAGGACAACTGAAGCAAGTGAAACAAACTGTTCTAATATATCTGTAGTGACTGTAATAAACGAGCGTAACCGAGCAACGCAGCAATGTTCCTGTTATTAAACGCTTTTCTCGGTAGTGTGGGTTCACTCGCTTCAATTTTCTTGGTGAGGGCCGCGGATGTCAAGAGGCTAATACTATAAATTTTGGGCTAAATAATCTTGTATTGAAACAGAGTAGACTCTGCAACCCCAACAAACGACGCGCACCACGACACAGACAGCATCGGCCGCAGTGATACTCTTTTACTGATGAGGGCTAGCGACCTTCACGAGACTTTCCGATCACCCTCCGCTTTCACCTAATGTATATCGGGACTGGGCAGTTCATCAATTAACTTTCAGATTATTCAAGTAATGCTGTAATTGCAATTTTAGAGCGCAGCTCTTAGGGGCCCGTTTCCAGCCTGAGCGGCGTCGCCGTTGGCGTCGGCGTAACCGGGGGGGGGGGGGGGGGGGGGGGGGGGGGGGGGGGTCACGTGACCCCCGAGGTCACGTGACTCCCCCCCCCCCCCCCCCCCCCCCCCCCGAGGTCACGTGACACACCCCTTCCCCGAGATCACGTGACCCCCCCCCCCGGGTCACGTGACTACCCGCAGGTGACGTGACCCCCCTCAGTACCCTTCCCTACTCCTCCTCAAGAGCTGCGCTCCAATTCGGCGTTACAGGGATTTGTAAACGGCTTTCGTTTTTTTTGCCGGTTAATTGGAGTCTTGTGCTGGAGAAAGTCAACAAGGAGTAAAAAATACCTGCTTTAATATGTTTGACGTCTTTATTTCTTTTCTGACACAGGCTTGCACGGTAAACCACTTCAGCGTGCTTGTCATTTCACCGAGGGTGATTATACTGTTTAAATAATAACTTAAAAAATGCTTCATTTTAAAAGGCTTTTCATGTTCATATTTATGTAAGACTCACGTGAAGTTTAGAATGGGAATGCAATATTCCATTTATGACATAGTAAAACCAGTAAAAAAATGTGTAGTTTTAACGTCTTTCACGCAATATGACCGGCGAAAAAATCACCTTATGGATTTATTGATCGATTAGTCTATTAAAGGATAGCAATCGGTCGGGTTAATTTTCTAATCAACATTCAATGCTTTATGAAAGCCATGGTTTGTGCGAGATAACAAAAATATGTGGGACCAGCGATAGTATACAAACCAACACACTAAGATTATGGAAGCTTCCGACTTAATAATAATTGCTTTGCTGAATTTCTACGCATGAGAAACGATACAACACAACCTTTAGTAAGAAGAAACGGCAACAAAAATATAGAACATTTAATAAGGAATGTCAAGCTCAGCCTAACACGGGCTTGCGTCGTCAAGAGCCATGCTTCTGACCGTGCGCCTGTAGCAGACGACGCAAGGCGGTAACCCCGCTTTCGCGCGTTTCCAATTTCGGCCGCACGGTGGCGACACGGTTCGATCTCAAGGCAAATAGTATATGATAATTGGTCATCTATAACATTGTCAAAAGTTTTTCGAACCTAGAGCGAAAGAATGATGGGGGAAAAAAATGTCAAAACGCGGAAATCGCGAGTGCTCAATGGCCACCCAATGGCACCACAAGTTCTCTCGTCGCAGAGACCACAAGGGATTGTAACATACTCGGTCGTAAGCAGTTGCACATGTGTGAACGAGCCTCGAGTCAGCATGCTTAAAATATTGATACATCATGTCCTTATGCAGTCATGCGAGGTCAATCTCGCTCATAAACCACAACTTCATACTTTGCAGCACTTGCAACGACTCGCTCAATGACGGGTGAACTTCGTCGCAAGAATTTCGATAGGAAACGCCGTCTAAAGGGCGTAACTAACATGGTCACAAAGCGGTAAGAAATGTCTTAATGTGAGAGGTACAACCCTTTACCACAACACGCTCGAGCACCATTGGAGCCACTGTGGGCTTTAGGAACTGCCCGTCAAGTTACTGTAAGCGAGAAAACATTCCCGAAGCCTGAGAATTTGGCGGGAAAAGACAGGAAAAGACAGGAAAAGGGTGATGAACGAGGTCATAGACTCGAGGGAAGGGGAAAGGCACATATAGTAGTTCCTTTTTGTCCAACACGACGGCGACTACTGGGAAGCGGCGAGTCTTTAAGGGGGGATACGGCCTCGAAATTCCGATTTTTTTCGAAAAAATACGTTTCTAAAAAAAGTTTATTTTCGGTTCATTAACTTTCGAAGCATAGTGTCAAGAAGTTTCATTTAGAAATATGCAGGATTTATTTCACAAAAAAATATTTTCAGCCCGGTCGCGAGCACGCGCGATGCCCCGCTGAGCGAGGCCACGGCAAAATGCGGCGTTTTCGAACTAAGCCTACTCCGCGCTCGTTCGACGCGGGCGAATCATTTTACCCTCGTTGGAAGCGCCATTTCTTCTAGTTTTTGCCGTGAAAAGCTTTCTGCGTTAGAGGGTTTTTGTGGTCTGGGAGAGCCCAAACATCGAAGCAGAAAAAACAGAAAAAAGACGCTCCTAATATGCTACGCTTGATCTCATTGGTTGAAAACCGAAACAGGCCTCGCGATTGGCCGCGGTGGTGACGTCACAGTTCGTTTTTTCGGTTTGTTCGCTTTCGTCAGCTAGCTCCGCTCCTGATCGTATCGCTGCTCCGCCGCTCCGGCCGCTCTTTCGTTTTACCTTTGTTTGCGTTGGTTTTTCTACCGAGGAATGCCTGCCACGAAAGCGAGCACTCGCGGTAGCTTTGGCCGAGGTTCACGATCTCGAAAACGAAGAGGCTTGACAAGAGGACGCCCCCGAAAAAGTGCCGACCCGCTGCCACTGCCGTCACCATTCCTGTCGTCGCGAGCTTCGAGTTTGTCTGGCTCAACTAGCCCTCACGCGTCGGAGTCTATAGCTTCAACGTCAAATGCTGAGGATGTTCCGGTTTCTGTGGAGTGCCTGCTGACAACGTTCGAGAGAAAGCTCGATCTGCTCAAGTGCGAAGAGGACGACGCGGAGATGGCGGACGCTCCCACTGAAGAGCCCCTGGATGGTTATCGCCTAATTAATGTGTCGGCCGTGCAAGAACTAATCGACGCTCTACTGTGTCCCAAGTGCCATGGAGGGGAGCTCAGCTTGCAAGAAAGAGGAACTGGTGCCGATCTTCTGTTTGTTGTTGGATGCTCGTCCTGCGGAGACATCGTCGCGGCACCGCACTCGCCACCAATTGGCAAGTCGCGACAGCACGAACTCGTGATGCGACTTGGAGTCGTCGGGAGAGACTGCGGAATTAGCTTTACGAAGCTCTCGAATCTCTTTGGGGGACTAAATGCTCCGCCCCCAATGCACGTGAAGTCCTATCAGAAGGTTGCGGGAAAAGTGCACGATGCCGCGATGCTGGCGGCGACCCAAGTAATGGAGGAGGCTGCGCGAGCTGTCAGAAAAGCGCAGGCAACGGAGGGCACGAGCGCCGAGAGCGATCTTCTGGATGTGTGCATCAGCTACGACGGAACGTGGCACAAACGTGGACACACGTCACAGTTCGGAGTCGGTGTCGCTATTGAGCTAGAGACCGGCTTTGTGATCGACTTCGCAGTGCAAAGCAAGTACTGTCATGGGTGCCAGCTGGGCCCCAAGGAAGGTACCGAAGGCTTCGAGGAGTGGGCAGACACGCATCGGAAGACCTGCCAAAAGAACTATGAGGGTTCATCAAATGCAATGGAGGTACAAGCTGCAGCAGCCATCTTCAGTCGGTCTGTCGAGAGGCATAACATGCAATATGTCACCGTCCTGTGCGACGGCGACAGCAAGGCGTTTACGCACGTAGCTGGTCTCGAACTGTACGACAAAGAAATACACAAAGAAGACTGTGTGAACCATGTGGCCAAGCGATTGTATGCAGGCATGGAAAAGCTCAAGAAGACTAAAAAAGGGCTCGGCGGAAAAGGAAAACTCACTAATGTGGTGATGAAGAAGCTGACAAGCTACTATGCGTGCGCTATAAAGGACAACGCTCCCGACGTCCCCAAGATGCAGAAAGCTGTCTTCGCAAGCCTCCTGCATAGCTATTCCACAGACCAGGAGCCCCGTCACAATGCCTGTCCACAGAGCGAGGATTCATGGTGTCACTATAACCGCCACAAGGCTCTGGAGGCAGCAGGCAAGCCTTCAGCACCACGACCCCACCGACCAGCCTTCCCGAAGGATGTCGCCAAGGAGATTGTTCCGATCTACAACAGGCTGACGCAGCGGGAATTGCTCATTCGATGCTCCCGCATGAAAACGCAGAATGCAAACGAGAGCTTCAATGCCCTCATCTGGAAGCGCTGTCCCAAAACAGAATTTGCCTCGCTGCAAACTGTGGAGACGGCTGTTGCTTTAGCCGTGCTTGAGTTTAATCTTGGTCCTAGAGGTTTTGAAAGGGTACTCAAGGAGATGAACATTGCTCCTGGAAGCCACCAGGCGAAGCATGCCTCCAAGGCAACTCTGGGCAAGATTTCCAAGGCGAAGGTCAGGGCACTCGACACGTCGAAGATGGCCCACAAGCGACGCAAGCTGGAAGCTATTGTCCGGGAACAGCGCAGCCTGGATGGCGAGGGTGCCACCTATGCTCCAGGAGGATTCTAAGCTCCTGAGTCCCATCGAAAATAAAGAAACCTCAAGTTGAAACTTCAAATGCATTTTTCTCAGTTTCACTTTTTGGCATGAATTGTCACCTTAGGAAATGTATCATTTGACACTTTCAATATGGAAAGACTTTCTTTAGAGTCCTCCTGGGCTGGAATTTTGTGGGGAACAAGATAAGGTACTTTTTATTTTAAAAAACTCACTCCTTCATTATAAAAACAAAGTATTTCTGAAACACAAAAATTTTAAAATTATTGTTTCTGTTGTTAGGTGTGTTTTTTTCCCTTAGAATTGCAGCTTTTATAATTGATTTTTACCTTAACTTGCAGCATGTGCATTGTACTTCACATTAAAGCAAGAATTTCTTAAATTCCAGTTATATTTTTTCAACGATACATTTCCTAACGAGGTCCCTTTAAATCTGGAATTTGAGGAAATTAGTATGTCAGAAAATTGGTCTATAATGCTGAAACTTGGCAGGTTATCCTTTCTCACAGTGTTCAATTTACCCTGCAAATTTCAATTGATTTGAATAAAGGGTTAAAAAGTTGACCCTCCCAGGCCATATCCCCCCTTAACTCACGGTGTGGGCGTTGTTGATCTTCTGGGTCTCCCAGGAGCCGTCGCCAGAGGTGCTCACAATGGACACAGCGCCGTCCGAGCTGCCGCACGCCAGCATCAGTCCAAATTCGTGGGGTGCCCAGCAGATGGAATTCACTGGAAAACAAAGACACAAAAACAACTTCACTCCACTAACGTGGCTTTACTGGGGCAAGAGGCTGAGGTTACAAGGTTTCGTCCCTTAGTGTTGAGGGGATTTCTAAAGCTCCTGGATTGCTGTCAAGCATTGCTCCTGCCAAAGTGCAATGTTTGCCACATTGCCCATTGACAGGGTATTTGCATGGCATTTCAAGTGTAATATGAAAGGGGTGTTCTAAAAAGGACCCAAAATGTGCATTTGCAAGAGATGTGTTCCTTTGTACGTTGGAAATCTTGGCAACATCAACTTACTGTTTTTACAGGGACCTGCACTGTCATGTTTGAGGAATAAGATGCTTGAAAGAAAGCAAAACATTTCTCTCCATTTTCTGCGTGTAGCTTAAGAAACCTAACAAACTATTTTACAGCTTGATTTTTTTAAGCGTCTTGGTAGCTTGCTAAGCATTATGAGAGGTATCTGAGACTTGGTTACTGAGGGGAGGAACACAAGACATAAATGCGTCTATGTGCTTCTGCCATTAATGCAGTAGCATCCCAAATAAGAACGAGAGCCCCACACGCCAAAAGAATGGTTGTAACAATAACATCCAGCCAGTGTTGCTTCATCAAAAACTATGCAACATAACTACTCAGCCCCACTTTGCTGCCCTAGCTTTGACAGCAAGATTTGTGTATGCCAAATCGTGGTTAGTGAGCCAGTGTTGCGGAATGAGCACCCCGATACCATTCAATCTCCATTCCAGGGAATAGTTTTTTCCGATACAAATTCCATTCCTTTGAACTTCTAGGAATGGAAACGCTGGGCCCATTCCCACTTCTTAATGGCTGAACCATTCCATTTCTTTAATTACCGACCGTGAAAAATGCCGTTTGACAGCTACATTAAGCTGTTGATAACGTCAGCATAAAGCTGACGTTATTAAACGCATAGACAACTGCAAAAATATGCACAACACATCCCAAAAGCATTGATTCTATTAGGCCAAACAGTGGTCGCATATAGCGCTGGTGGCAATTGACATGGTGGCAGTGCAGGTTTCAATCACGCGACCAAGCGTAAAACCCTCTTAACAGATAGTAAAACTTCAAACTACCCGTTTTCTTCACAAAAGAACCATATATATCTTCCACTTCCAGGAGATACATGGCAAGCGAGGAGTCACACATCCAAGAAATGCGAGCGGAGTGGCATTGTTCCTGTCTGGTGGTCTACTACTGGTGCTGTAATCGCACATGGTCACAACAGTCAGATTGTCGCATCTCGCCGCACCGGGAACGATACCTTGTCCGCCTAAAAATCTACAGTTTGGGCTGCTTCAGTGGGGTTGCCAATTTCATCCTCGAAAAAACATGAGCCGATCAGATAACCAAGGCGTCAGTTACTTAAAGGGGTACAGAAACAAAAATTTAAATATTCAAGTTTCATTCGGAAATCAGTTAAGCATGACGGTTAATAACCACAAGTGATAATCGCACGTTTGTATTTTGAACAAGTGCCTATATTTTTTGTTCCAAACGGTGCGCTCGGGCAAGTGCTCCAAGAGAAGGGAATGCAGAGTGCGATGCATCATGGGATATCCGACGCAAACTAAAACGGACAGAAAAGATTTCTCGCGTCCGTGGCGTAGTAAGGCTGGCGTGGTTATGAGCTTTGCCGTTGGTGGCGTTGTCAGTGTTGCGGTGGTGTTAATAGCATCAACGCGTTACAACCGAGCCATTCGAAGTACCCGTGGGGTGACGAGCATGTGGCTGGCCCAAGGAGCACGTAGCTTCCACAGTACTGTCAGCTTAGGGGTGAACGGGCTGGGAAAAGCAACTTTTGTCCAAAATATGAGCGACTGGCTAATTCCTAGGGGAAGAATGGCTGTATCTTGGTGCACAAAGGAGGGTCCAAGAAAGAGGGGAGTCCCTCCTTTCCGTCTTTTTGGACTAATGTGATTACGTTAATCAAAGTATACCCAAACTAAAAGTCATTTATTTGTGTTTGTTTTTATGTATGCATTCTTTTATACTAGATTTGAAGCACGGCTTGTCACATAATTGCAAGCGGCTACTCTTTAACCCAGTAGACACAGCCACTTCGCCTGCGTCGCCATATTTTTCGCGTTTCTTCTCGGTTTTGTTACGTTTTGTTCCAACTTCGAAGTGTCTTTCGATGGAGCCGCAAGCGCCGCAAGCAGCCGCGAAAGAGAAGACCCAGTAGTCCGACCACGAAACAAACAGCTCTTATAAAAGCTTGGGAGGACAAGCTCTGTGACCTGCGGCGTGTCAAGCAAAACACGAGAGTGAGCGTCCTCAGCTTCGGCTCCGAGCCTTTGATGCTCGGCACGGTGTTTGGCGTGTAAATAAATGAGGGCGCTCATTAACCGTCGAACCCGTTTACCGTCCTCCGATACAAGGACCGACACTCACAACTGTACAGGCGCCATTTCCTTTCGCCTTGGTCAGCTTCTATCTTCGGCTTTGGCTTATCGCGGCTAGAGCAACTAGAGCGTCACCATCAAATGAATTACAGCGGAAACGCAAGAAAACAAAGTAATAGACCTTATTCAGATTTGCCCGCCATCTATCGGACGTGGCGCCAACCTTCCTTCAGACGCCATTTTTGAGGCGACTGGCAAAGCGCTGTGGCCGTTTGCGGCTTTCGATGCGCAGCGACCGTACGACTGCTTTGTTCCGCTACATATTCAACAAGGAAATAAAATGAACAACAACCGATTTGAAGCTCAGGATTGTATTGTTTTCTTTTCGAGTTAAAGGTATTATAGCCAACGTTTGAATAGCCGTAGCGCTTTCCTGTACTATTCACGCTCCTAAAAAGAGCACTAGCCCGTTAGTGTTGCGTGCTTTTACCGGGCTCCTAAAACTTTCTTAATATATCACACTTTCACAATCGCATGAAGGGCTCATGATATTTGTATGTAACATCAGTAAGCATCTATCATTGTATGTGATTTTTTTGGAGCTTGATGTTGGCTAGCATCGTAGCTTCGCTCGCGCAGAGGAACCGCGAAGTCCAGTCAACATACCTCAGATACACTGTTTTGCTCTTTTTTTTTTCTTTTTTTTTTCTTTCTTTCTCTCTCAAGTAAGTCTTTCACACCCGGTTGAAGGCTAATGCAAAGTGCAGAAAAGGAAGTCAACGAAACAACTTCGTTTCGCACATGAATGACAAAGACAATGGTGCTAAAAGCAAAGGTGAACTCTCGCTTACCCGCTGTCTCATTATTATCACACCACTCTCGGATTCCGAGAAACATTTTAGAAATATAGACGCAAGCACAAAAGCGGGCTCTTGACTGCTAACCTGGACTTGTTGGCGAGTTTAACAGTCGCTCTTGCTCACTTCCCGAAAAATCGGGGTTCGCCCTGCGGGAGCTTTTTTATTTGTCGCCACCACTTTGATGAGCACTGGTCATATTCTATTGCTAGTAAGCATGAAATCTTACTCTATGCGACCGCGCTACCAGGAGGAGCACATTAAAATGTCGCTGACATTTATTATTGCATTTTCTCTCAAGGAGCCAAAGATATATGCGCAAGTATTGAATATATTTTTTAGTATTATTATTATGATTATAAGAGGAAAATGTTTCCGCTTTCAGTAAAATAGTGCTGTTGTTTTTTTTTTTTTGTTTTTTTAATACGTTACTTGCACCGCGGCGACACGCCCGTCATTTCATTTTACGTTTTTGTGCCTCGCATACGCTTGTGTGAGTATGCTAGTGTAGATCTTCAGCGTAGTTTTTATTTTTTACCTGCAACAAAAATACTACTATCGTAAATTCGTGCTGTATCACACACACTCCTCATAATGATGTTTTGAGCTACTATTCGATGATCTCCCCAAGGAACTAAATAAAAATGTATGTAGTAAATTTAATTCCATGTTTTTTTTGTTTTTTTTTTGTGGAATCATATCTGCAATATTCCTCAGGTTAAGACAACGGGGAACCAACACTAAGCGTTCAACGCCGCCATCATAGAACTCAGCGATTCGGGTCTGCACACGCTGGATCAAGGCGCACTGGGCGAAGAACTGTTCGCATTCTTTAAACTCGCAGCCGCGAATGCCAAATAAAAACAAACTCACACGGTGGCTGACGGCCCTGCTAAATATATCGTACAAATCGTCCTTGTGCAAAAAGGCATAATAAACTGGCCAGGCAAGTTAACGCACGATTCTAAAACAGTGCGTGAGCGGCCTGTTCTGGTGCTGGAACGAAGCTCATTTTTATAAAAAGAGATTCGTAGTAAAACTACTGAAAACAAACTTGAGCTTAATATTCGTAAGTTATTCCAGAGCGGCTGTCACCATCAATACACAAAAAAAAACACACGCAAAAAAAAAAAAAAAGAAACAAGAACGTGCACGAACGTAACGCGGGGAGAGGAGTTCGTACTACGGCGGGCGACGGGCGACGGGGCGGTGGCGAAGCCTCAAAGATGGCGCCGAGCCTCTGATAGTACCCGTGGCCGCCGAGAGATGGCGCTAATAATGAATAAGGTCTATTGACTGCAAAATTTGTTTAAAACTACCTATAGAAACTTTTTAGAAATCATAGCCTTGAACAAACATATTTAGCTTACAAAAAGCTTTACAATTAGTTTTCTCCAGGGAGCAGGCGCTATCATCATCATGGCACAAAATGACATTCGAAATGTACGTGTAGCACGAGCTTGAAATGTAATGTCATTCGGCGCCCGAATGAGATTCGCCCTGAATGGCATTTGCCATGTCCGTGTGGTACGGGTATAAGAAGGAAAATGTTGAAATTCCAAAGAGCGGTGCTGCTCCGACGGAGCTTGCTACGTCATGACTACGTAGCAAGTTTCCCAACGTTGCTAGATGTACCTCCCAAATAGGCTCTGCATGCATCCACCAGGTGCACAACGAAAGATTGTTTAATTAGCTTTAAGATTAGTTTGCTTGTGCCTTTCAATGCAAGCCTGGTGTTTTTGAGGTTATGCCGCAACATGCAACAACACAGATGAGATAAAGAAGGGCGGGGCAGCATGTGTCAGCGTGGCCTCAATTCATCTACTGACAAAGAATGTGTGTTCCTCAATGACGTGGCCTGGCATCGGGTTGGCTAGTGATGGGGCGATATCAGAAACTCGGATGGTATATAAGTGTCGTTTCATGTAATAAAATCAGTTGTTAGCAGCGCACTGTGGTGTCTGATTCTCGTCTTTTTGTCCTTGTTTTTGAGTGCTAAAATGTATTCCAAGATATTATTGACATTTTTTTTGTGATCCACAGAGGTTACGCGACGGAGCCACCTTTTTTACTTTTGCCTGGTGTTTGCCACAGACAACAAAGCAAACTTTCAAAATTTATCTCACAATTTTTATTTTTTTTATTTTACAGCAGTGTTTAAAGGGTTAGGTTCTCCAGGATCGTGTCCGGTACCAAACAAATGTAGACACAACACTCTGGCTGCCGCAATCGCTCACAGATGGCGGTAGCTGTCCAGAGTGTTTAGGGTGCCTCCATGTCTGTGTGCCTCAGGGTGAAGACATCCATTGTTGCCCTGAATGTGCCAGCACGTGACACTCGCGCGCACTTGGTGAGTGACTTAGGCGGTAAAATGGCGTCTATGCATTAGCCACAGGCTACGCATTCGAGCTGAGTGACACCGGATTGAGTGCACTTCAAAATGCATAAAAAAACTATTGGGCCGAAAATTGGCTGCAATGTCACCACTCAAGCAAAAGCGCACGTGTGTATGAAAGCACTCTAAGAGAGTTGTGTCTGCCGGTTGTCTGCTTCCCGCTGTCGCTCATAGATCACGGCAACGTTTCCAGCCTTTCCACCCTGGCTTGACGACTCGCGGACGGCCATTACTTCATTACGACCATAGTACAGCTTCGCTGGTCTTCCTTCTTCACCAGAGTGGAAAGGCTGAAAGTTTTACAGCAGAGCTGTTAAGGGCTAGTTTCCCCATCTCATGTGCAGTACCCAAACAAATGTTGACACAACACTCTGGTTGCCGCCGCCGCTCATAGATCGTGCCAACCTTTCCAGCCTCGACAACTAGACAACTGGTTCCTGCCGTCGCTCATAGATGGTGGCAACATTTCTTCATAGTATAAAGAGAGGGAACAGAATGAGCGGCGATGTGCGCAGCACCACGAATGGTTCTGCAACCACCGCGAGGCCGCTATCGCCTAAAGTTCCACTGCATTGAGCGCTTCAGATTCCCTTGCGAAAGAAGAGCAGATAGCTCGCCTGGAAAGCCACCGCCGAGAACGGAAGCTACAGCTCTGCTGCTCTTCCTTCTTCACCAGAATGGAAAGGCTGGAAGTTTTTTTTATTTCAGTTCCACTTTTTTTTTTATTTAATCTTGTTAAACATTAATATCTAAAGAGTAAATGTTTTAAGCAATTCTTGTATTTCTCGTCAATAAAAGGTTGACTATTGCCATACTAACACACTGACTAGGTGGCAAAACAAGCTGCTTGCCCAATTCAAAAGGGCTCGGCCGTGCGCATCCGTCCGGGAAGAGTGCGATACAGCCCGTCCGACTCACCGGAGGAGTCGTGGTTCTTGAACTCCTGCAGCTTGGCCCAGACGCCGTCTGTCTCCTTCCAGAGCATCACCTTGCGGTCGTAAGAGCAGGAGGCCAGCACGGTGCCAAACATGGGGTGGGCCCAGGCGATCTGCCAGACCGGTCCGTCGTGGCCCTTCAGGTCCGCCACCAGCTTCTGTGTCCCGTTGCGGATGTCAAACACCTTCACTGACCGGTCCGACGAGCACGTCGCCAGGCGGGTGCCGTAGTAGTCCATCTGGGCATCGTGCTGCAACCAAAGACGCGACGGTCGGTCGGGCGGGCCGCGGGCATCCCGCGGGAAACTTCGAAGCCTCTTACCGGGTGTTCTCAAACGTCATTCCAATTGTAAAAAAAAAGAAAAGAAAATTACAAATATTTTAATGAATTGTGTGCAATTAAGTTTTTCGCATTAAGGTATCTTCAGACGGTGCATTTATCATACTCAAATTTTATTAGTGTAGGTTTCAAGAAAAAAAGGTAAAAAAATGGTAGGCACAGTGAGGAAGACGGCAAAACCAGATGGTGCAATGTAAAGCAAAAACGTAAAACCGCATTTGGGGTTGATGCTCTAAAAAACAGATCCATCAGATTGAGTGTGCATGGTACCACCCGTAAGTGGCAGCGTCAATCGGATGGCTTTTGCTATTTTCTTCCTTGTGCATAGGCAAAAACAGGCATTTTCAGACTTCAATATTTTTTTTTCTAATATGTACACTCATATAATTTGAGTATGATAAATGCACCACCTAAAGACGCCTTTGTGAAAGGTTTCAACGTACGCTGGAATAGCTTTGGAGAACTCCCCGTAAGATCACTCTCAGATAGCAGCAACTGTGTATATATAGTCTGCAGCAGGTTGAGAATTGGAGGACAAGATCCGCCCAGATGGACCTCCACGCCTTCTACATCAGCAGAGTGGCCGCTGGAGAGGTGGTGAGTGGAGAGGAGAAAATCACCAATCATGGTGAGCTTTGGGGTAGAAGTTTGCCCTGTTACTCTAAACCTGCAACAGGCTATAAGGGGTTGAAGTTTCTCTCATGTAAGCGTGTGCGTCGTCCTCTAGCAAAAACAGAGGAACTGCACTACTCTCTCTGTCTCCCTCTCTCTTCAGTGCTATGTGGCAGAGGCTGCAGGGGCAAGGAGTACAGGACTGCACTGCACGCAGAGTTTTTCATAATGTCCATTCAGCAATAGGAGTATGTACTTGGGGTAACTTGTATTACATGCTTCAAGGATTAAAGGGATGCTGAACCGAAATTCGGAGCTCAGAAAACAAGGCTGTAGTGATGGGCGAGACGCTGCAAAACCCCATAACATCCCCCACACAGTGATATCTCCAACGGACGGCCAGATTTCTGGAAAAGAAGTGTTCGATTGAACACGACAGACGAGACATGTGACATCGCAATTCTCATTCCCTCTCCTCTTTACTTCGTCCCCTCGAACAGGTGAACTGAAGCGACGGGAAGAGGAGGAAGACCGATTCCCCTCATTCTCAACTTTTACAGGTGAATCGTGACGTTACATTCCTCGCTTCATTGCGCCCTTCTTTTCCAAACATACGGCCATCTGTCTGAGATACGGGTTGTGAGCGATGCTTTGGAGTTCGTAGTAACCCATTCAACGCTTCTGCGGCCTTATTTCGCGAAATCCAGATTTCGATTCAGCATTTCGTTAGGGCACCTTTAAAAACAACAAACATGTAAAAAAGAAGCGCACACACTGAGTGCATACTTAAAACTGAAAGTTTAATGGAAACGGCACACCACAAGAAACAGATAAAATCACGGATCACAGTGAATTCGGCAGTCACAACATAGCAAAGCTTTGTATCTTGGCTAATTGTGGGTACAAAGTAAGGTGGGAGTGTATGCTATACAGGTAAGATCGCACAGGGCAGTTCCTCATTATGGCACAGCCGTGAGTAGGCACATTCTGGTAGAGGGTGAGGTCCACTGCAGCTGTACAACAATATGGCTGCCGACTGTCTGTTCAGTCGGCAGTCACAGAAAGTATAATTTTCATTGGCTTTGTTGTTGATGCCAATTCAATGCCTCCGATGTCAACAAGCTTCTTTGACTACAAGAACACAGCTTTGGAGGAAATCTGGACGTTTGACAAACACCACACGTTGTTTTCTGAGGGGACTTTCTACAAGACGTCGTCTCAAGCTTTGGTATGCAATGGACGAGTACTCACTATCATATCCTCGTGGGCCGTGTCAATCGTCTGCAGTAGGGACGCCTGAATAAAAAGAAAATGAAAGTGGCACTGTGTTAACTTTAAATGAAAACATCGCGAGAACCGGTGAGACAAGGCGAGCCACGGCCAGTACCGAACACCGGCACCGGACAAGAGTATGTAAAGCACAGACGCATCGTTCATCCTTAAAGCGGTGACAGCAAGTGGTCAGATCCAGCCAAAGACTGGCTCCAGTATAACAGGGTTTAATGAAGTATTTCAAAATTTACCATGATTTTTGTTCGTATTTCTTTGGCCACCTCTGCCGAGAAGTTGACGTCGGAAGACGTAAGCACACGACGCGTTGGTCGGCGGCGCTTAGATCCCCCTACAGGCGGCTCTGGAACTACTTGGGAGAAACAAGTAAAACAAATATTGTACAGTAATGTTTACAAGACATAATTACTCGGTACGGCCATAATAATTGTAGTATACATTCAAATCAAAAGAAAAAGGCTTAACTCCTATGAAAATGCAGCGTAGCCACTCCTTTTTCTTTTTTTTTTTTTTTTTACTTTTTCCTTAGGTAAGTTCGCTCTTTGCAAAATTTTACAAAAAAAAAAGTGCAACATCTGCGGGCCACGCTGCACGAAATCGTAGCACGTAAGGTTAAGAAACCGAATTTTGCGGTCGATTTAAAGCATTTAAAGAGCCTGGCCGCTATTTGGGACAAAGCGCATAATCTGTCTCTTTGCCAGCATTGCGTTGGCTGGGAAAGAGCACCTCTTTCCACTTTAGCAGAGCGAACCAGCGAACACTAAACTAGAGGAAAAAAATTGACTATTCTCAAAAAAATATATACATTTTTTTTTTATCGCAAAAATAAACGCCGAACGCCAACCGATATTTTATTCGAAAGTAATGATTTTCTAAAAATGTCAATAATAAAATGGTGGCCGACCTTTCCACTTCAGCGGAGTGAACGGCGGTATGGTGTATTCACCACTGATCTCAATGACAATTGCTGGATCGCGCTTGCCGCTCCCGCAAGTGAAGCCACCGGACCCAACCCCGCTGGGATACGATTTCCCGTTCCGCTAGCCTTTTGCTGCGGTTTTCCAGCGTGCTGCAGACACGTTTTCTACTCGTTCGTCGTCATTCGCCGAGGAAGTTTTTGAGACTCTGTGTATTGTTGAGACTTGCCGTCGTGAACACGTGGAAAATTTCACGAAAGCGCAGTGTCGCAGGAAAAAGGCACAACTCGTCGAAAGCAAGGGTCTGGCGGCGTGTTCAAAGCTTCCTTGGCACGCCAAAGTGCCGTGTCTCTGTGCCTTCGCGCGCTTGGATACCGATCAAGAATCGACGCCGTGTGGATGTGTTTTGCGAGTGCAATGTGCGTGAAGCCGTATCAAAAGGTACAACTCGTCGAAAACAAGTGTCGCCGGTGTCGCGGCGTGATCAAAGCTTCCTTGGCACGCCGAGTGATGCATCTTTGTGCCTTCGCACGCTTGGATACCGGTCAAGTATTGACGCCGCGCCAAAGTTCTGAACGTGTGTCGCGCGTAGATGCCTTTAGATCATTTATATATATCGGCCACGGAGTTCTGGATCGTCCAGCTGTTCCGGTGAGTTGCTATCAATAAAAATCCGTACGTGTTCTTATCTATATTAACCATGGCTATGTCCCAAATCTACTCTAATAGATTCCATGGGAGCACGAATAGGGCAACGTTGTGGAGCCAGGGGGGTTGTCGAAAGCAAAAGTACAAGACGGCGAGAATGAAAATCTTTGAAGCTCGGCCGATATGGTCGTGTGCAATCTGTTGACCAATTACAATTAGGCGAGCCGCGCTCAAACGTCAAGTGCAATTAAGTAGGTTGATAATAAGCCAGCACTGATCAGTGATGAGGAGCTGTTGTGCACGGTATTGTGTAAATCGTCTAAGGACGAAAAAAAGACGTACCTTCCCCCCATCTTCCGTCGCTAGTGGACGCTGGATTAAGCTCGTTCCTAAACCGCGAGGGGAAAAGACGCTGATCCAGAGGCACGAACAGCTTCACGCACATTGTACTCGCTAAACACATACACACGGCGTCGGTTCTTGGTCGGTATCCAAGCGTGCGAAGGCACAGAGACACGGCACTTCGGCGTGCCAAGGAAGCTTTGAACACGCCGCCAGCCCTTCCTTTCGACGCGTTGTGCCTTTTTCCTGCGACACTGCACTTTCGTAAAATTTTCCACGTGTTCACAACGGCAAGTCTCAACAATACACAGAGTCTTCAAAAAACTTTTTTGTCGAATGACGACGAACGAGTAGAAAACGTGTCTACAGCACGCTGGAAAACCGCAGCAAAGGCTAGCAAAAACGGCAAATCGTATCCCAAGCGAGTGAAGTCCGGTGGCTTCACTCGCGCTGCAGCGAACAAGCGGGGAAGCGCGATCCAGCAATTGTCATAGAGATCAGTGGTGGGGACGTGGTCGCCTCCTCTACAGCGTTCGCTCTACTAAAGTGGAAAGAGGTGGGAGGAGCTTCCACTTCGTTCTACATGGTACATGTGTTCTATGGCGCCAGAAACCGAAAACTGGCGAACATGGGCCCCATTTTTCCACTGTAATTTTCAGAAAATCACAAAACTTTAATAAAATATTGGTTCATGCTGAAACTTTGGTCTGGTTCAGACTTCAAGGGCTACTTTTCGGCAAAAAATGAGCGTTCGGCCATGCAAACTAATTTTTTGAAAAAAAAAAAAAAAATATATATATATATATATATTAAAAAACGATTTTTTTTTTTTTTTTTTTAGATTTTGTAGAAAGAGGTGGGCTCTTAGTTCTTGACCTGTCGTTGCGGTTAACCGTAAGGTGAAACAGAGTAGGAGAATGGCAAATCTTCAACCCGACCACATCGACTGCGCTCGAATGACTCCAAGCCATTGCCCACAAGAGACGTCGAGTGTCGTACCTGAGGAAGTCGAGCCAGTGCCAGTCCTCCAATCAGCTTGGGACCGGTCGTGGACGATAAGGTAGTGCGGTCCTGGGAGCGCAGTCGGGGCCAACCCGCTTGCCTCTGGAACGTGGGCGCGCTCACCGGTCACTCGAGCAGCCTTGCGCGCGCAACGCGACACCATGCACCACGATAACTGCGAGCCATACATCTTCTTCTTCAATCTTTATGGCGCGTTCCTACGAGCACCATAGTCCGTAAAGTGATCGCCATGTCAATCTCAGCTTGCAGTTTTATTTCCTACATCCCAATTCGTAATCATGAATGCAGGTATTTTACATACGCACCTGCACAAGCAAACATAAAAAGCCACTAAAAAAAATTAAAACGGTCTGGTTGAGACACGCGTGTCAAAAAATAAACTTCACGATTTTTTATTTTTTTAGAGCAATATTGACAGCGCGAGACGCGATTTAGTCCGTGGCACGGTGTGGTTCGTAGTCACCTCCTTTCCAAGCCGCCATAGCCGACCTTCTCTTGTCTTACCGAGATGCCGAGACACTGAAGTGGGCGTTGACGAGTCTCCACAAGGGTCTATGCTGGGGAGAAGGACACAGTATACACCTAAAATGTCGATAGCCTGTCCTGCTGTGGTAATGATGAAGTGGAGAGTGTATAAGGGGGGATCGGTGGCCGAGTGGTCTAGCGCACACCAGCTCGGAGCACGTGGAGCGAAAGCTCGCGCTGCAGAACCCAGGGATCCTGGGTTCGAGCCCCACCCCTGCCCGTTTCGATCTGGATGAGCATCGTACCGGCGTGCGGTCGTGTATCACTACTGCGTGATGCACGTTAAAGACCCCACGCTAGCGGCTGTACCGCACTGGCTGAATTGCTCATCTACAGCTGGGAGACTCGTCGCCCCTGTGAGGCAGACCAATTTTTTTTGGAGAGTGTATGACCATTTTGTGACGTCATGGACTTCGCGCAAAATTTAAAATAAACCTCGCACGTCCTCTAATTTTTTTTTTTCGCGTAAAATCAACTTTTTTACACGCGAATCCAAACCAGACTGTTAATATATATATACTTTTTTGTCAGGCAGTTTTTTATGGTGTCAGAACACGTATATGTTTAATAAAGTAAAAAAAGAAAAAAAGATACACGCAACTGCGCGAAACCGAAACTGGACTGGGAGAAAGTCACCAAAAATAATGTGGCTGTGCAACTTTTTTTTTTTTTTTTAACGTATTTGGGGTTTTTTTAGAAGCCTTGCGAGTGTGTGCCTTCGATGACCCACGACTTTGATTATCTTTAGTGGTCGTGTCTAAACCAAAGAAAACTGCACGTGACCACGAAGTAGAGAGGGAGCGCGACTCAGACGGGCCAGTTCGCGATCGGTGGTTTTTGGGTGTAAAGAAAAAGTCGGCCTCTCATGTCATGTACAGATAAAAAATCTTGGCGAGCATAAATACTCCGTCAATGTCCCATTAGAAGAAGAAAAAAAAAAAAAAAGAAAAAGACCGCATCTTTATGTGGTGAATGATGTTGGTTGGGGGGAAGCTCTGGTGGTGCTGATGATACTGATTTTCTTCATAGGTAGTGCCGATTTTTTTTTTTTTTTTGCTTATAGGTAGTGCTGAGTTCCGGGTTGCGTTTCGGCTTCATTAGCCAATGCATGCAAAGTTTAACGCGATTATATACGCATTTGACCGCAGCGCCCTCTCCTGTATAGACGTTGAGCGTCTACATGCAACGTTTCATCCATGACATCCCCAGGGGGGCTATGTTGCGCTTTTTGGACTCCCAGGAGACTAGGGAGAGGGAAGTGACGTCAACGACACAGCAAACGCAGATTGGGTGTTGATTTCGTTTTCTTCTGTCAACATCCAATCTGCGTTTGCTCTAGTCGTTGACGTCACTTCCCTCTTCCAAGTCTCCTGGGAGTCCAAAAAGCGCAACATACCACCCCAGCTCTTGAGTTACTACCACATCTCAGAGCCCCCTACTCGTCCCGCAGTCGTGGCCGAGTGGACTAGAAATCCATTGGGGTCTCCCCGCACAGGTTCGAATCCTGTCGACTGCGCAAACATTTTTTTTTCTTATTTTTTTAGGACAGATGGGATGGCGATCGATGTGAGCACGGACGCTGGACAAGGCTAGGCCCTAAGGAGCTTCGCCCCTAATAGCACCTCCCATGGTACATTAATCTTCTGCCTACGTTTGCCTCAGACTCTCAGTCAAGACATCAGCATTGCAAGATATCAACCTCAGTGACTTGTGTGGTAAGCAATGCATAAGCCAAGGTTACGCGCAAGAGCGTCTCTGACTGATGTGTTTAGCGTCCTATGCTGCCCGTACATCAAAAGTGGTCCCAAAGTGGCAACAAATGACGTCACAGAAGCCGAAGTGTCATGCAATTGCATGCCGCGATCATGGCAGTTGGTCGTAGAAATGCTAACGAGACCGCGACTGGCGACAGCATGACACTTCTATGACGTCGTCAGGAGGAAATTGAGGGACCCCTTTTTGGACGCAGCGCGATCCAAACTAACGCGTTTTTGTCCGCGCGTAGGTCGTGCGCCTCCTGGAAATTGCGTATTTCGTGAAATTTTTGCTGTTTCCAGTGCGCTTTCCGAGTCACAAGCGTGCACGTTGGTTAGGACGGTGCGCTTTCGGGCTATGCTTTCGGGCGAGCGTCCCCGCCCGACGGAAGAAACGCGGTAGGGAGCCTCCCTAAAACGCGGAGCCGTAACTGGTGCCCTCTACCAATTATGAGAGAGGAGCCCCCTACTACGTCAGTGTTTTCGTGCGCGTTCTGAAAAAGTTGAAATCACCGAACTGTTCTGTGCGCGCCCGGAAGGCGCAAGGAATCAGCGTGACGTCACGAAATACGCAATAGACCGATCTCACCAGCCAGTTTGACTACGCCACCGCTGCCGCAAAGCATCGACTCGAGGGAACTTTTAAGTCTTTCTTCGCGTGCAGGCCACGAACAGTCTCGTGCACTGCCGATTGCCTCCTGTGAACTTATAAAGTTATGGCTGCCTCGCGCATGCGTCGAACGCTTGGTGAGATCGGTCTATTACCAGGAAGCGCACGACCTACAAGCACAGATACGCGTTCCAGGCACCATACTCAAGCTAAATCACGCGTTTACTCGCCAAAAAAAAAAAAAAAAGGGGGGGGGGGGGGGGGGGAGCGGCAGAGATAAAACCAGTCAAGGAATATCGCGTTTGTATGAAGTGAACTCCTGTTCTGGTCTTTAACCTTTAAAGCAGTCCACTCACGCCTCAATGACATTCCTTAGAATCGCATGCAGAAATGCTGTAGCATTTCTGCATGCGATTGACAACGAAATGAAGGAATTCCATCACTCAAAATGCAGTTCACCAAAACAATTTAATAAAACAATCACGACAGCAAGTATTTAAATTACTTATGCTTGTCTAATTGCACAAGCCCTTCAGGTAGGAACTCTGCTTGAATCATCTGCGGTTTAAACACCGAAGAATATTGTATGCCCAAAAGCAAAACAGTTTCTGCAATTAGATGGCGCCGCTTGTCCAACAGTGGCTTCCGCCCGTGAGGACGGAAACGCTGATCCCCATGGCTCTGAATATCACCGATGGTCACGAAAACGTCTTGATTGGAACCCCGAGCTAGCTCGACGTCCCTTCCCTTCCTCGGGGGTACCCGCTTGGGTGCCGGGCCACAGCCATCTCGTGTACCACGCGATGCTGCATTATCTTTACAGGCCTTCCAAGGTGCTGTCCTTGCCGTTGCTTTTCCTCTCTTCCACCCATTCAAAACCATTACACTAGACATAATTACCAACTTACCAAGCGCGTAATTACGCCAAGGCTATGGTGCACACACCACACTTCAGCAGCTGTAAAATGTTTGTCGTCACCCTCATCCGGGCCAGTATCCACTTTAGCACCATTTTAGCAGTGATGGCACATGCAATTTGGTGTAGATTTGGTGTATAGGTGGAAATACAAACAAAAATCCAGTAAAAGAAAAAGGTCTCCAGTCATTCTGTGCCACATTGCATCCATATTCTCCACCCACACCCAACCTCAGGTGAATCATCCAATTGGATCACCCAGTTAAGCATTGGGTGTGTGCGTTATTGGGAATAAGGCAGTCAGAAGGAAACAGCAAAAAGGCCTAGCACTATATGCTTGACGCAATCAGCATTAATGCTATCAGACAAGTAGGAGCAATGATAAAAATCCAAACAGCCACTGAAACTACTCACTGTACAAACGTCTCTGTGCAGCTTTTGAGGAAATCTTTATTTACCGGTTAACTTCATATTAAACAATTCACAACCTTCCGAACCGCAGTTGCGATGTTCCGGGAGAGGAGCGGGTTTGCGGTGTCCTTTCAGTGGAGACAAACTTTGATCTTACTCTCTGCGGTTAAATTCCAGGACACTGAGCATTTGCTGACCTCGCAATCCCTGAATGGGTTACTGCTTGTGTTATCTTTCCAACTTTGTTTTTGATCCAGACGTTTTTGTAAGCAAAGGAAAGTTTCAATCTGCTATCTCCACGTCATCCTAATGCATGCATGTACTAAGACTTTGGGGTCGCCAAAATCGGGGGAGGAGATGCATAAACAAAAAAAGTGTCTTTCCCTCCTACTTACTTTGACACCATGCACTTTGACACACTGCATTCGGGTAGGATGAATGTTCACGGATTGCGGAGTCCGCGCTGTGGCGTTTGTAGGGATGGGTGATCACTTTTCATTTCTGGCTATCGATATTCAACCAAAAAGTGGGGTGGGCGAAGAGATGACTCTGGATATTATGGTATTAGTTTTATAGCTATTGGCAGAACTGCTTCTTTCGATATTCGACAAGTTGTAAAACGGTAAACCTGTGCATGATTCCTTCACTCCAGTGCTATACCAAGGCGCCGGATGGCCTACACCCCTCCGCATCACGCGACGAGCACAGATGCCTTGTCTCATCTAGATGGTGCCTCCATGCACCTGCGTCTCAGCATCAACGGGCCACACCAGGGACACACCTGAAAAGGGAAAAACAGTGCCAATGATTAGCACCAAGAGCTCAGTCAGGGGCAACCACTGACAAGGTAGGAACCGTTCAGATGTGTACATTGGTCAACAAAATGTTCAGTCCGCCCGTACGAGATCATCAAGCTGAAAACAAAAAGGAAAAGGTTGTCCAGGATTCTCACC